CTCAGGATAGCCATTTTCTAGTAAGGTTCTCCTCACTAGTTCAAGTTCGTCCTTCAAAGTGTCTTCTGAACAGATGCGCCTTGCTCTCTGCCCCAGACTGCGTATGAGGTTATGTTTTTGATAGAGTGGGACGACGTTATGAAAATTTGTGTACTGTCCACTCCATGTTGCTTTGCGAAATATCCTTCTTTGGATAGAGCCGTCGGGGCGCCCGGTCAGATGAACATCCAAAAAAGGAAGGCAATGGTTCTCCTCTGGTCCAGTTGTGAACTTAATTGATGAATGGGCGTTATTAAATTCTGATTCCACTTGGGCAAGATTAGTGTTCTTGTTAGACACACAAAAGATATCATCCACGTAACGGTGATATTGTTCAAAGGAACTATTGGCTGTAGATAAAGAAGTTGTCTCTAGCTTGGCCATGAAGACGTCCGCGAGAACAGGTCCGAGGGGTGAACCCATAGCAACGCCATCGACTTGGTGGTAGAACGTATTATTAAACAAAAATTGCGCATTTCGTGTGCATTTAAGTGTCAGTTCTTTAAGGGTTGTGACAGGAATCCCCACGGATATCATTTCAGTGTTTATAAATTCACAGATGAAATCAACTGTTTCAAACAGGGGAACATTTTTGAAGAGAGAAACAACATCCAACGAGAACATCAGTCGGTTTTTAATATTCACATTGTTGGTTATTTCAATAAACTGAAAAGTATCTCTTAGTGTATGCTTGGCGACACGTTGACGTATGGGTTCCAAAAGTGTAGCTAACAAACGGGCAGTTGCGTTCTGAGGTGAATTTGTCATAGAGATAATGGGACGCATTGGAGTGCCAGTTTTGTGTATTTTAGGTAGACCATATAGGCGGGGCACGTTAGAGCCAACGGGTTTGAGGTCTTCAAATAGACGGGATGATATGTGGCCTTGATCTCTGAGTCGTTTCAGTGTATCATTGATTTGCTTTTCAGCTTTCCCCGTTTGATCCATTTGAATTGCGTCACGGGTAAACTAAGAGACCTACAACGGAACCCTGAAATCCTGTTAAGCAAACATGACAAAGGAACTGGCATTGTGATTACGGATCGTGCTGATTACGTATCCAAAATGCTACAACTCCTATCCGATCAAACAAAGTTTACCTGTTGACATGCGCTCAGCATTTACAATCATCTATCGAGTCTCACCACACCCCTCAAGAGCAATAAATTTACGTACGTTAGCGACCGCAGAGGCGATTAGCATCCGACTCATGAAGCCTGAGCTGTGCGCACAACGCAAACTGATTCACGCTCTCAAACTCCCCTGGCCAAGGGAAGAGAAAATTGCTCGTTCATACGACCATGACGTAATCACTTTGGTTATGTGGTCGAAACTGCGCACAACAAGTTTAGAGTTCTCTTGGGCTCATTGCCGAACACATGAGTCATTCACCTTTTTGTATTTGTTTTGTTTGACCTTATCGAACTTGTTTCATGTAAATTTGATTGTAAAGGCTTGAAGAGGAATTCACCGAAAACATATGTTCGCCAACACTGTGTTCACAAATTAATTACATCTGTTTATATTATTACCAATTCTGCCATCTAATTCACTTTGAAAAACTACGTGCGTAGTCAAACGTTTTCGATTCACTGAATCAGTAGTAGCTGAAATATTTTTGGACCTTATTCAAATCAATGAACTGTAAAATTGTATCTTTGTATATTTAGTAATCGAAAGTGAAATTAAAAGAAAAGAAAAATAAAGTGCGCAAAAGCGTTTGTGCACTCAACACTTATTTATTATGGGTGATTCCAGATGGTTCTTCAACTAGACACAAATGAACCAACACTGCGCTGCCCACGATGAGTTTGTTTAGCGGTATTCTTTAAAATAACAAGAGAATGGTGAAGTTATTCATTAACCAAAGCCTTGAAAGTGTTTGAAATCAACTGCCTGGCGCACAATTTTACAACCCCTATTTACTGAAAACAACTCAGTTGTTGCTAAAATGTGAACTATTTATGTAGCTCTCTTATTCACTACTGTCTCTAGTTCATTTCTCGTTCAGAGGTGAAGGCTGGTCAGAAATTTTCCGCTAACCAATCACAACCGAAGCCTGGAGCTATCCACGAACTGCTCCATTTGTCCCAATGCCCGTGGACGATTGACCTTACCCAAATTTATGTTGTTCTTAGCTAAGCCGTCTAGTTGCACCGATCGAGAACTTAACTGCTTGGTTTTAACTGTACTGCACACAGAACAGCAACCTGACACTCACCCTGCAATTCACTTCACACCACGGTAATCTTTGCCTCATATATCTTCATGTTTTCTGCATCAGTATTGATAAAAGTTGACCCACCATTCGGGATGTAAAGGCAAAAGAATAAAAACCATTGGTGATTTTTTTAATTCAAAGGGAAAATAGGATTCCTCGAATTTTGAAACACTGAATAGCATGGTACAGTAACCTTCACGAACACATTCAATTTTATCACGGGAACAGACACAAATGCATCAAACGACTGACCGATAGATGCAGTTCGAATGTATCTGACAGCTTAACTAGTTATTCCTCTGTTTCTGGTTCGTCTTGTTCGTCCTCCATTAAATTATCAATCGCTGTGGGGTCTGCGGTTTCTTCCGCTGAATCAGGTTCGGCATCTGTAGTTGTGGTAGTCTGTAGGTTTTCCAGCTGCGACTCGGCTCCCTGTGTATCATCAACTGGTTCCTGGTCGTCTACTTTGTTCCCGGTGGATTCAGTTTGCTCCGCTGGTGCACCTTCGAACGCCTTAGTGCCCTCGTTTGTATCACTGGATTTAATCTCATCTGGTTTTATGCCTAGGCAACACATCACCAAAGAAATTAACTTTTTTAAAATTTACTTGAATATTTTTTCTCTCACAAAAGATCCAACATTTTTATTAAAACGAACGAAAACATAAATTACGGCGTTCGTCCTAAAAGGACCAATGAGAAGGCCAGCTCGACCGGTCGCTGAGCGGTGGTTAACCCACTCAGTTTACCTGACCGTGAATGATATGTATCACCCACGTGGAAGCATGCATAGTGTTAACGCGACAACGTCGAAAACGCAAGGACAGGATGCGGGTACAAATGAGGACATGACTCATTGAATGATTGAATGAATAAATTAATGAAAGTACAAAAGTGCTTGAAAGAAAATATGAACAAGAGAAGGTAATTCGAACAAGTAAAACCAAAACATTTGAACAAATTGTTGATCAGTTTTATTTATTATGAGAATACCCTGGTAAAGCACTTTGAGCACATGGGTTTTCAGTGTCACTATTGTACATCAAAAAGGAACAAACATGAGCTCACGCATTTTTCTATGCCACTGTTGAAGAAGTAATTGGTAATAATTTCAATTAATCATGGAAGAAATACACAGGGGATGGATCCTAGAGCACTTAAATCACTAAGAAAAAGTTGCAATAAGTCTGTTTAAATTTTTCTTTCTGAGAGTAAATCAAACAACTAGCATGGTTTGCACTGCTGTATGCTTACATGCTTCCACTAAAAAACGTCTTATTTGAAATCTAAAACAGAGAACGTCTATTGTGCTGGTGCATATGGTCATTTAGGTTCGTCGATCTGGTTTTGATCGCATTAAACTACGTACAGAAAGTATACTTAGTTCGTTTACCTGATCCTTATCTTAGTTAGATCATCGGTGCGTCCCCCGGGGTATATTGTTGGGTTTCCTAATACGAGGATCTGACAAAGTTAAAGCCCGAACTGAGTGCTTTTAGTTGCGTAGGGAGGGCCCAACGTTTGAGTAGCAATCGCCTCGATTGTGCATGGAACCTAAGTCTTTTTGGCAATGCTTACGGCATGCGGAAAGCATGATCAGCATTAAGTGTGGGCCATGCCTCGAGTATACAGTGTGATTGCTCCATTGTTTCACATTTTCTTATCCCTGTCACCCGTGACCTGAAACAGTTCAGTTCCTCCTGACCCTCTCTGCAATCTGATCGGTTCGTTTTCCGTGATTTGCGCAATCTGACGACAGCAGACTTCCTGATTGCCGAGTCTTTGTGTTTGCGATGCTCTTGTTGTCACCTGCAATCAAGTCGTGTGATGTTGGCACCCCTGCTGTGCGCAGTCGAATTCCAATGGGTATGCTAAGGACTCGAGACTGTGGATAAGGTGGATTCTCGCTCGGGTCAGTTTGGAAAGTGGAACGTCCCTTGCTGCAACCGAATCATTCGATCGATCGTGTGGTTAGGAATGAGAGGGACAAGGCGATGTGAAATGATGGAATAATCGCACTGTGTTGGCAAATAGCGCTTTTCGCCGTCCTAGTTTCACCAAGTTTCAATCAGCCGGGTTGGTGTTTTCCAATGACGTAACTGAGATCAGGATCAGGTAAACAAACTTAAAATACTTTCGGTAAATGATTCGATAGGATCAAAACCAGATCGATGAACCCAAATTACCTTATGAAATTTTAATGGCCGGTTGATGAATTTGTCGAATAGCAGCTTTTTTAGCCTATCGGACTTTGTTTTCAGCAACAAAGTGACTTAAAATATTCGGCGAGATCCACTGCCTTTGTAACTTTATACCAATCTGGTGATTTGCCTGATAACCAAATCAGCCTCACAGAGAGCTAAGAAAATCAAAACCCATGGGCTAAAATTCTTTCACTCTAACATACGCCGGTAAATTACCTCCTATTGTGTGATTCAACATATAGAAAAAAGAATCATAATTTAAGATACCTAAATTATTCATATTTTGAAGAATAAACGTCGTTGAAACTACTATCGAACCGTGTATGAGCTTTCCAGTTTCATTCTCTTTTCAACAAACTACCCAAAGTGCCCTACACGTCTGGCTACTCATAAGTAGTAGCATGTATTCGTCGAAAATCGGGAGAGATCTAAGAATAACCCAGAATGTAGCGCAGTTTCGGTCTA